ACTCAGGTGAGTGTGAGCTTAAAGCTCCACCGAGTACACCTTCGGCCTCACTAGCCCGCCGTCGCGAGGGCGGCTACGTGAGTAGTGGCTTACCACCAATGCCACCTCCATCCGAGTGGATAAACTCGAAGGTTCTAGTGCAGCGCTTTTGCAGCGTGCCGCTATTGACGCTCATAAGTCGTATAGCGTCTTTCCCTTGTGGAAAAAGCAGGGCAAAGCACTTGTTCGTGCTTTCCCAATTCCAGTCGTGCTGCGTTCTAACGAAACAGCCGACGAATATGAAGCTTAACTTCGACGTCGTGTTACCTTGCATGTAGATGCAACGAAACAACGGTCGCAGCGAATCAGCTTCGTCATGAAGCGTGCGCATGAAATTATGGGTGGCAAACGACCCCCGATTGATTCTCGCCACGCTTCTTCTGCTAGTCCATCCGGACCTAGCAGAAAGACGACAGCTGGTGCTGCTTCACATAAGCAGCCACCAGCCCAGGCACGTCGACGCGCAAAGCGTCCACAGGCTCCCATGAGTCAAAGCTCGTTGGGTAACCTTTCCACTGGACAAGGATTTGGAGCTTTCGCTTCACAAACTGGTGGGCCAACAGCCTTACAACAAGGAAGCGCGTATTCCCTTCCGTGTCCACCAACACAGGTGGCGCCCGATAGAAGTGGCGATTACGCCCACCTACTCGCGGCTGCATACACTGATGCGCTTCAGTCGCTGGCGAAGAACGATCCGCTGAAGCGCCAGGTGGCTGATCTCGAGAGTCATGTCTCGCTGCTGACTGCGGAGATACGAGATGTGCGATCGAAGTATTGTCAGGGGTATGACCGCCTGAAGACCCGTTTGGACATTTTAGAGCGTTTGGTGATGAGCGAATCGCGTCAAGCGCAGAGTCCTCCTCGATCGACGAGTCCTCTATCGCCTCGTTCGTATACGGGGAGCCTCTCGGCTTCCTCGTCGCCTGATCGGCCGCGACGCTCGACTCACAGTCGACGTCACCATCGGTCTCGTTAGACCGATGTGGATATGTGATCTCTTCTGGATCAACATACCGTTTCAGACGACCCACGTAAAATACGGAGTGCGTCTTCATATACGGTGGGAGGGTGAGCCTATAATTTTAGGTCTCCAACTTCCTCAACCACTGTAAAGGACCCAATGAATCGGGGCAATAGCTTAGTAGTACCACCAGGTAGTACATAAATTGCATGTTTAGGTAGGGTAGCAGTACTTAATAGCACTTTGTCCCCAACACTAAAGTGTTCATTCTTTTTGCGACCATGCTGGTCTGCATATTGTTTTTGCTTGTCCTGTGCGCTTGCCATCGCGTCACGGACTACGTGTGATGGCAATCGCTCATCCACAAAGCGCCGAGCTTCGCTCATGCTTTTAGCATCCAGCTCGCCTATGACGCCTCCAAGAGGTCGTTCATGGGTCGACGCTGTTGATAACACTATAGTGGCATCGTTAAGGAGCACTGGCATTTCTTGCCGTGCGTCCTCTGTGACACTTATAGGTGCCGTGACCACTGCTAAACTAGAAGTGTCACTAGGGCAACCTTGGCCCTTTTTGGCATTCGTACCGAGCGAAGTGAGGGGCCCTCCCCCACTAAGACTCGAGCTGCGTACAAACGAGACTGGCGCTCGAGGATGACGCAGTCCGTTAATGTAAACCGGTGTTTCATCCGTACTGGCGTGAACACAGTTATTAATAGCGAACTCCACGAATGGCAATTGCTTGCTCTGTTCTTTGGGAGTCGCTACTGTACGCAACACATCCTCCACGACTCGATTGTCACGTTCTGTTTGGCCATCGGTCTGGGGATGAACAGCGGTTGACATGTGGAGCTTGCTACCCAGCAGCTCAAACACATTTCGCCAAAAACCCGACGAAAAACGCGGATTCCGATCCGATACTATGGACTCGGGCATCCCGTGTAGTCGATACACGTGATCCAGAAACAAGGGGGCACCCTCTCTTCCTGAGATCTTGGTGCTACATGGTGCCAAATGCACCATCTTGCTCAGTCTGTCTACAAAGACGACGAGCCCCGTCCTGCCTTTATGGTCAGGCAGTAAGCCAAACATGAAGTCCAAACTGACCGACTTCCAACATTCCGTTGGAATCGACAGTGGCTTCATTGGCGCACTGTTTGAAGGTGCAGGCTTTATGCGCTGACACTCTTCGCAATAGCGAATATAGTTGGCCACCCACCGATATAGGTGGGGCCACCAAAATTCCTCTGACACTCGTAAGAATGTCTTTTCACGGCCCAGATGCCCACTAGATGGCGCATCATGGCACTCGTGAAGTATCATCAGCTTGAGATCTGTGTCATGAGGGACATAGATTCTCAAGGGATCACAGGGTGACAGTTGATGCCATAACAGGCCATCACTGTAACTAAAGCGATTTAATTTAGCTTTCAAGTGCGACGGAAGGGTAACCTTTCGTCCACCAAAATGATCCAACAGCAGGCGACAAGGTTCGTCCTTACTGAAACACTCCTTTATATTGGAGGCCATTGAGCTCGTCACATGGTAGGTTTTTACGGCTGCCAATGTTGACGACTCACCTTGTGCTTTCGCACGAGACACACATTCCTGGTGTCTTGCCTCAAAGTCTGGTCTGCGCGATAACGCGTCAGCCAAGACATTCGACTTACCCGGCTTATATTCAACTTTGAAATTAAATTCAGAGAAGAATGTCAGCCATCTCGCCATTCTCGGCGAGAGGTGCGGTGAATTTATAGCGGTCCGCAGTGATGCGTGATCCGTATAGACCACAAAAGGTTCGGTGCCCAAGAGGTGCACCCGAAACTGTACAAGGGCATACTTAATTGAAAGTAGCCCTTTGTCATGCACAGGGTAGTTTAGCTTTGCGGCTCCAAAGCCGAGATTGATACGAAATGACACGGTCAACGCCGCTGTCATACTTCTGCATGAGCGCGCTGCCGATTGCAAAATTGCTTGCATCGCAGACGACGCTAAAGGGCTTATCCGCGTCTGGCAATGCCAAGACCGGTGCCTCTACAAGAGATTGCTTCACTGACGTGAACGCATCTTCTTGCTCATTTGACCAAGTCCATTCTGCATCCTTTTCTTTAAAAGGTCAGACAATGGCTTAGTCCGCTCCGCATAATTGTTGCTGTACTTATGCAAGTAATTAGCGAGCCCAAGGAATTGGCGCAGATCCTTTACATTCCGTGGGACTGGCCATTTCTTAATATCTTTAACCTTTTCTGGGTCTGCTCGTACACCATGTGTACCTACGATGCAGCTCAGCACAGGTCACAGGTATCTCGGGGACCCCTATTACGCACTTTTAGGAAAACTTGGCTCCTCATCGATTTGGTCACATCCATCTCCTTAGGAGCTCAATGTGACTAAAGGTCTCTCATGGCTTCTGTTACGACCACAATCAAGAGCAAGAAAAGCAAGAGAAGAATTGTTTCCTGGTAATGAATGCCTTCACATTGTTATCAGAGTCGAAGTAACTTCCATAGATCTACTTATAGCACAATAGTGAGACGTCTTGGTGCTTTGAACTAATGTCACAAGACCATGAGGAGATACTGTAGCCAAACGGCAAACGAGAAGATTTGCACGGAGGGTCCCATGTGGACTTGAGGTACAGCACCTTGGTGTTCTGTCAGTTCTTCTTTAGCAGTGAAGCCAAGAAATTTGCGGTCAGCTGGGTATTCGCCACAATCTGCTACTTAAAGAGCCACGTGATCAATGCCGACATCCAGGCACATCACCTTGTTGATCTGGAGCTTGACGGTACTGCGCACTTGATCCGCCTTCTCCGTGAGCGAGTCGTTCGACGTCAAGAGTGTCGGGAACTTGTCAGCCCTGTCAAGCCAGGACCTAACAAGCGTGGGATCTGCATGATCAGCATGTTGGAGGCCAGAAAAGTGTCGTACTTCTTGGAAAACTTCTTGATCACCTTTTTCTTCTTGCTGATAATCTTTAGATCGTCCGTCCACTGTCATGTACTCGTGGCACTCCTTTTTCAGCCATTTCACAGTGAATGGCGTTATCAAGCACAGATCTTCCTGTTGGGACGACTTGACCGTCGGCAGCTTGAACGTGCCACTGAAACGTTGTCATTTTGCGGGTTGTAGTTCTTAAAGAGATCAGGTCTTATTACCGTTGTGCTTTGTACCCTTCAGCTCGTTGCTATTGATGGCCACAGTCTTACCGGCTGTAAAAGACACAATGTCATCCACTGCTTGTGATAACAATTTACTGTTCAGCTTGCTCATTTTTCTTCCTTCTGGTCGGAAGACGACAGGTCTTTTGCTGGCTGGAAGCGAGAGTATCTTAATCGAGATTGGCGGTAATGGTACTGGTGAATACGCCTCCACGTCGATCGACACTCCAGTACATGCTCCGACCAGTTTATATAGTGTTCCATGCATACTTTGAGGCTCGTATCCACATACTTTTGCGTCTTTATCCGCCTGGATCGTTGATCTCCACGCACTGACGTGCTTCTGGACATACTGGAAGTGTTGGTGCACGCACTCGCTTGCATGTATCGAAGATACAAGAACATGATGTTCGGGTGCAACAGATGAAAGCGATCTTACATAGATCCATGATGGCATCACAATATGTTTAAGCTCCATGGCAACGCTTCTAATGTTCAGCACCAAGCCCACAAGACCTAAGCAGGCTTCGAGACTTGTTTTTCTGCATACATCTCAAATGCTAAGCAAAATACGCATCGACACGACAAAAGTCATTCGAAAAGCAGGACCATTACATGGGCGAACTATTTAGGTATGCCGACTTGCTCAATTCTTACCTATCATTGATCTCCGTGCTCGTTCGCAGTTACGCTGTCTAAGGGTTCACCACCACAGCGAGCAGGTCATAGAACTCTAAGTTAACTACACATAAGACAAAATTGAAAAGGACGTGACAATTGCAATTTCTTATTAAAAACAAATAGAATGGCCACAAACCAGTGCTACTCTCTTCTCCCGCCGCTTTCAAACTCGTCCAGGTCCAGCTAATTCAGAAGCTTCAGGTTCTTTAGGGCCTTCAGGTACTTTGAGGCCTTCAGGTGCTTTAGGGTCAATTAGGTTTCTAAAGTTTGGCGCCAACTCTTGTGAGCATTTCTGAGATCTCTTCTTCGGTATACGTTGCTTTAATTTTTTGCATAAACTTCTTTTTCAATTCGTTTACGAGCTTTGGTATCGACGATAAATTAGTCGATTGCTTTAATTGTAGAAACATTAAAACAAGCACGTCATTGCTCTCGAACATTCTCCTTAAAAAGGTTTACAGTTTTCATCATGTTTTCTTTGCCGACCCAGATCGTGTAATCCAGCCAGAACCATACAAGTGGGCTGTTTAAGAGGGCAGGTCCTGTTGGTAGCCCCAAAAGCTCGTGAATCTCTTCCGCAGGTCTCTTCTCATTGTACCATTGCCAGTAGTATTCCTTTTCCAGTGTAGTTATAATAGATTTAATGTCCTTGTTACTTTCAGTCTCGACTAATTTCTTGACCTTGTTATCTTTGGTCGAGATAGAATCCGCCCGCGACAACTTAAAGACTTGAGAACCGATTAGTAGTGAATTCTTGCTTTCTTTTTCAGGCATCTTCACCTCCTCGCTTTCTTTTGGGATCAATTGCTCGGTCTCGCTTGTATCCATTAACAACGGCAAGGTATCGGCATTCGTTTTTTTCTTTCCCAATTTAGCAAATAACTCCAACCCCATTCCTCTCTCTTCGGCGTTGCCCTCATTGGTCATTGTCAAGGATTCGGTCGACCTCAGGTATCGGCGCGGCCAGACAGGGGCCGCATTCAGCGTATTAGACGCTGGGAAATAGAGCATCACTTCGTCATCAGACGTTGCTCTTGAAGTCGGTACTAGCGTCACAAGAATAAGTACAATGGCTACCTTGAAAGCCATCCTTGCAATAATGATGACTGTCGCGCAGATTTAAGAGTGAGGAGAATCTACAAACGTGGGGGACAATGCAAACAATTTGCACATCATTTGTCTCCCTTCACCGAGGGAAAAACGGGGCAATTTCAGTTAGGGGCCTGTACATGTACATTCCAATCGTATCATTGTCGCAATACGTATAAAAGTGGGCAAAAAGCAGTGTGTATATGCTTAAGCCATACCAGAGCAATGTCGTGATATCGACGGTGCCGTCATCCCAAGGATGTAACGCAAGATTTGGGTGCCAGATTACGGCGCATTTGTGGACAAGCGCATTGTACGATTTGACTGGTGTCGAGTGATGCCATCAAATATCCGAGCTGCTGTGAGCAATCCGCTCATATTACTGTAACTTTGACATGCCAAGTGTGTAAGCTGACGCGAGTCCGCCAGGATGTTGGTAGCTCCACATTTTCTGTTTGCATAGGTCAGCTGTAGTTTGAGTAGGTTGTCTAATCCCAATTTAATCTTGTGACACTTGCCCTCTGACAAAAAAAAACACCCATGTAACAAGTTCAATAAGGCCATCCATGTATACGAGCTCGTCAAATCTGAACATGCTCTTACTTCGTGCCCATACTACAAGGTTTGGAGTGAAAAGCTAAAAGGAGACTCCTCTACCGATCAGCAATTTTAACATGTCAAGATGGGACGACAGTGTACACACATCTCAAAAGCGAGATAGCGGACAGATACGGATTCGTCCGCAGAGCCAGCGAACCTGCCCTTTTCACCTAGGGTGGATAGTCTCTCATAGTAAGGCCAAGCTAAAGGACAGCGTGCAACTCGGAGGGGAGGCTGTCATGGAGTTTACCAAGTTACTGAAGAAGCAGGCGATCGCATAGGAGGTCAATGACCACGTTGTCAAGCTCACTACGGAACCCTCAAAGGGGCGGTAATACTTGTACTGCTGAGTGTGACACTGTGCTAGTGGCCACTGGTCGTCGCGCCTTTACGGCCGGTCTGGGACTGGAACAGATGGGTATTTAGTCGGACAAACTCGGCTGTATTACGGATGATGACGCCGTCCGTGCCCAGGTATCTAGATGTGATCAAGGGCGCTATGCCGCACATAAGACCGAGGAGGGGAGGGTATATTGCCTGCGTAGAAGACATTACGAGCAAGCACGGCCATATAAAGTATACGGTGCTATCCCTGGTGGCATCTGCACGTATTCAAAGTTCGATTCGTGGACAAAACGGAGGAGGTGCAAAGGCGGACGTAGTGGAATACAACGTCGGCACATTTTCGATGATGGCTAATATCTGTGCTCGTACGGTGGCCGAGTCCGACGGTATGGTGATGGTGCTGGCTGACACGAAGACGGACAAGACGGTTGCGTGCACATCATTGCCACGTAATGCCGGTGAGATGATCTCAGAGGGTGTGATCGGCATAAAATATGGTGCTGCCAGCGAGGACCCTGGGCGGACGTTCCACGCCCACCCGACGCTACGCGAGGCGTTTCAGGAGTCCTGCGTGGCTGCGTTCGACAAGTCAATTACATTCTAAGAAGACGGCGAGTAGTTGGGTGCGACGGATCGAGTACCAAGACAGCACAGATCAAGAAGCTGATACTACCCCGTAGCGTAGCGTGCTTACCGCATATGCATAAGATTATATACGTGGCTCTTGTGCATCATCATTATCTCGCGTCATTTAGCAGCACAGGCTAGCAACTCACGACTGCTCCACCCTGTTACGACCACAATCAAGAGCAAGAAAAGCAAGAGAAGAATTGTTTCCTGGTAATGAATGCCTTCACATTGTTATCAGAGTCGAAGTAGCTTTCATAGTGTTACTCATAGCACATTGTTGAGACGTCTGGATGCTTTGAACTAATGTCACAAGTCGTTGAGGAGATACTGTAGCCCAACGGCAAACGAGAAGGTCTGCACGGAGGGTCCCATGTGGACTTGAGGTACAGCACCTTGATGTTTTGCCAGTTTTTCTTTAGCAGTGAAGCCAAGAAATTTGCGGTCAGCTGCGTATTCACCACAATCTGCTACTTAAAGAGCCACGTGATCAATGGCGACGTTCAGACACATCACCTTGTTGATCTGGAACTTGACGGTACTGCGCACTTGATCCGCCTTCTCCGTGAGCAAGTCTTTCGACGTCGCGCGTGTCGGGAACTTGTCAGCCCTGTAAAGCCAGGACCTAACAAGCGTGAGATCTGCATGATCAGCATGTCGGAGGCCAGAAAAGTGTCGTACTTCTTGGAAAACTTCTTGATCACCTTTTTCTTCTTGCTGATAATCTTTAGATCGTCCGTCCACTGTCATGTACTCGTGGCACTCCTTTTTCAGCCATTTCACAGTGAATGGCGTTATCAAGCACAGATCTTCCTGTTGGGACGACTTGACCGTCGGCAGCTTGAACGTGCCACTGAAACGTTGTCATTTTGCGGGTTGTAGTTCTTAAAGAGATCAGGTCTTATTACCGTTGTGCTTTGTACCCTTCAGCTCGTTGCTATTGATGGCCACAGTCTTACCGGCTGTAAAAGACACAATGTCATCCACTGCTTGTGATAACAATATACTGTTCAGCTTGCTCATATTTTCCTTCCTTCTGGGCGGAAGACGAGGTTGTTTTGCTAGCTGGAAGCCAAGTATCTTAATCGAGCTTGACGGTACTGGTACTGGTAGTATACGCCTTCACGTCAAGTGGCAGTCCACATGCTCCGACCAGTTTATATAGCGTTCCATGCATACTTGAGGCTCGTATCCACATACTTTTGCGTCTTTATCCGCCTGGATCGTTGATCTCCACGCACTGACGTGCTTTTGGACATACTGGAAGTGCAGGTGCACGCACTCGCTTGCATGTAGTCGAAGAGACAAGAACAAGATGTTTGGGTGCAGCAGGTGAGGGTGATCTTTTATAGATCCATGATGACATCACAATATGTTGAAGCTCCATGGCAGCGCTTCTAATGTTCAGCACCAAGCCCACAAGACCTAATTAAGGCCTCGAGACCAGTTTTGCTGCCCACATCTCAAATGCTAAGCAAATTACGCATCGACACGACAAATGCCATCCGAAAAGGAGGACCATTACATGGTCGAACTATTTAGGCATGACGACTTGCTCGATTCTTACCTAGCATTGATCTCCGTGTTCGTTGGCACTTACGCTTTGCCACCACAGCAAGCAGGTTATAGACAACTTTATACTAACTACAGCATAAGACAACCTTGAAAAGGACGTGACAATTGCAATTTCTTATTAAAAAACAAATAGAATGGCCACGATCCAGTGCTACTATCTTCCCTCGCCGCTTTCAAACTCGTCCAGGCCCAGGTACTTCAGCTTCTTTAGGTGTTTCTTGTGCTTCAGGCGCTTTTAATGGTGGTGGTGGAGGTCGATCAACTTCATTAAGTTTGGCATGGAAACCGTGAAATATTAGCCGAATCCTGTTATATGAAGATTTATTTGCATAAAATTCTCTCAATTCCGCCATCTTGATCGGCATCCCAAAATTTTGAACTTTTTCATAATGCATGAACATCTTTATAACCGCATCGTTGCCGCCGAACATTTCCTCGAGTACATTAATAATTTTCTCGTAGCTATCTGTGTCGATCCAGAGCTTATAATCCAGCCAAATCCATACTAGTGGGCTCTCTAAGAGGGAAGGGCCTTTTGGGAGGCCCAAAAGGTCGTAAATATCTTCCGCAGATTTCTGCTGCTTGTTCCACCGTTCAAAGTATTTTTGAGTTGTAAGTGGCTTGATGTTCTTCAAGTTTTTTACATTCTTGATTAAACGCTTGACCTTGTAATCATTATAAAAACTCATGTCGAAAGACCACCACTTCTTAAGAGCTTTAGCAACTTTTGGTTTAGTCTCGCTTTCTTTCATGGGTAACGACATTGTCTCGCTTTCTTTTGACATCAACGGCAAGGTATCGGCATCCCTTTTTCCCCATCCCAACTTAGCAAGGAACTCCGGCATGACTCCCCTCTCTTCGGCGTTGCCCTCATTGGTCGTTGTCAAGGATTCGGTTGACCTCAGATATCGGCTCGGCCAGACAGGGGCCGCATTCGTCGTATCAGACGCCGGAAGATGGAGCATCACATCGTCATCAGACGTTGCTCTTCCGATCGGTACTAGCGTCACAAGAATAAGTACAATGGCTACTATCACTTTGGAAGCCATCCTTGCAATAGGTGATGACTGTCGCGCAGATTTAAGAGTGAGGAGAATCTACAAACGTGGGATACAATGCAAACAATTTGCACATCATTTGTCTCCCTTCACCGAGAGAAAAGCGGGACAATTTCAGTGTATGTACATTCCAACCGTATCATTGTCGCAATACGTATAAAAGTGGGCAAAAAGCAGTGTGTATATGCTGAGAGAGAGTTACAGACCGTCTCTTTAAAACATTAAGGTTGTTAAGCTGTCTAGAATGCTTCTACCAGAACTTCGTCATTCTTCGCCTCGCTAGCTCAATCTGCTGGCTCGAGACGTCGGACGTCACGGGTAACACTTTGCAAAGGGCACGTGGATCCAATTATTCAGCCCAGGTGAAGACAGTGGCTCAAAGATGGAAACAAGCACCGAGCACCATCCTAATCGACCGCTGATGCACCTCGACAAGGCTGGTCAATTCCCATTCTCGGCAAGCTCGCTTGGTGAGACCGGGAGTCGCGCTCGGCGGTTATAACGCTGACGTAGAATAGCAGAATTATCGGGAAAGGAGAGAATGGTATCCGCGGTCGTCAGTCCTCTCCCCCCCCCCCCCGGAGGTGACAAAGGTTGGTATTCCCCTTTCGGTTCACACGCTGCGCTTGCCCCCCATCGCGCACGCAGCAGAGAATAACCGCCCCCTTTCTGGATCTTGGGCCTCCTGTTGAAGGGACTTCCCGCCCAGGTAAAAGGGGGTTGGTGGCGGGTTCTTTGGAGGTCTTCGTCTCTTGGCCAATGTTGCTTGAAGACACGAATTGGAAAGTGGTGTGTGTATATGCTTAAGTCATATCAGAGCAATGTCGTGATATCGACGGCGCCATCATCCCGAGGAAATCACGCAAGATTTGAGTGTTCGCCTACGGCGCATTTGTGGACAAGCGCATTGTAGGATTTGACTGGTGTCAAGTGATGCCATCAAATATCCGAGCCAGCGGACAGATACGAATATGTCCGCAGAGCCAGTGGACAGATACGAATTTGTCCGCAGAGCCAGTGGACAGATACGAATTTGTCCGCAGAGCCAGTGGACAGATACGAATTTGTCCGCAGAGCCAGTGGACAGATACGAATTTGTCCGCAGAGCCAGCGAAACCTGCCCTTTTCACCTAGGGTGGATAGTCTCTCATAGTAAGGCCACGGAGAGGCAGCGCAGCGTGCAACTCGGAGAGGAGGCTGTCATGGAGTTTACCAAGTTACGGAAGATGCAGGGATTGATTTTCAGTGTGGTACCAATGCGATCGCATAGGAGGTCAATGGCCACGTTGTCAAGCTCACTACGGAGCTCTCGAAGGGCGGTGATACTTGTACTGTTGAGTGTGACACTGTGCTAGTGGCCACTGGTTGTCGCGCCTTTACGGCCGGTCTGGGACTGGAACAGATGGGTATTTAGTCGGACAAGCTCGGCTGCATTGAGGATGATGACGCCGTCCGTACCCAGGTACCTAGTATCTTGCTGTCGGCGATGTGATCAAGGGCGCTATGTCGCACATAATGCTGAAGAGGGGAGGGTATTGCCTGCGTAGAAAACATTGCCAGCAAGCATGGCCATATAAAGTATACGGTGCTATCCCTGGTGGCATCTGCACGTATTCAAAGTTCGATTCGTGGACAATACGGAGGAGGTGCAAAGGCGGACGTAGTGGAATACAACGTCGGCACATTTTCGATGATGGCTAATATCTGTGCCCGTACGGTGGCCGAGTCCGACGGTATGGTGATGGTGCTGGCTGACACGAAGACGGACAAGATGGTTGCGTGCACATCATTGCCACGTAATGCCGGTGAGATGATCTCAGAGGGTGTGATCGGCATAAAATATGGCGCTGCCAGCGAGGTCCCTGGGCGGACGTTCCACGCCCACCCGACGCTAAGCGAGGCATTTCAGGAGTCCTGCGTGGCTGCGTTCGACAAGCCAATTACATTCGAAGCAGACGGCGAGTAGTTGGGTGCGACGGATCGAGTACCAAGACAGCACAGATCAAGAAGCTGATACTACCCCGTAGCGTAGCGTGCTTACCGCATATGCATAAGATTATATACGTGGCTCTTGTGCATCATCATTATCTCGCGTCATTTAGCAGCACAGGCTAGCAACTCACGACTGCTCCACCCTGTTACGACCACAATCAAGAGCAAGAAAAGCAAGAGAAGAATTGTTTCCTGGTAATGAATGCCTTCACATTGTTATCAGAGTCGAAGTAACTTCCATAGTTACTTATAGCACAATAGTGAGACGTCTTGGTGCTTTGCACAAGACCATGAGGAGATACTGTAGCCCAACGGCAAACGAGAAGGTCTGCACGGAGGGTCCCATGTGGACTTGAGGTACAGCACCTTGATGTTTTGCTAGTTTTTCTTTAGCAGTGAAGCCAAGAAAGCTGCAGCTAACTGCGTATTCACCACAGTCTGCTACTTAAAGAGCCACGTGATCAATGGCGACGTCCAGACACATCACCTTGTTGATCTGGAACTTGACGGTACTGCGCACTTGATCCGCCTTCTCCGTGAGCGAGTCGTTCGACGTCAAGAGTGTCGGGAACTTGTCAGCCCTGTAAAGCCAGGACCTAACAAGCGTGAGATCTGCATGATCAGCATGTCGGAGGCCAGAAAAGTGTCGTACTTCTTGAAAAACTTCTTGATCACCTTTTTCTTCTTGCTGATAATCTTTAGATCGTCCGTCCACTGTCATGTACTCGTGGCACTCCTTTTTCAGCCATTTCACAGTGAATGGCGTTATCAAGCACAGATCTTCCTGTTGGGACGACTTGACCGTCGGCAGCTTGAACGTGCCACTGAAACGTTGTCATTTTGCGGGTTGTAGTTCTTAAAAAGATCAGGTCTTATTACCGTTGTGCTTTGTACCCTCAGGTCGTTGCCATTGATGGCCACAGTCTTACCGGCTGTAAAAGACACAATGTCATCCACTGCTTGTGATAACAATTTACTGTTCAGCTTGCTCATTTTTCTTCCTTCTGGTCGGAAGACGACAGGTCTTTTGCTGGCTGGAAGCGAGAGTATCTGAATCGAGATTGACGGTAATGGTACTGGTAGTATACGCCTTCACGTCCATTGGCAGTCCAGTACATGCTCCGACCAGTTTATATAGTACATGCATACTTTGAGGCTCGTATCCATATACTTTTGCTTATGTATCCGTCTGGTTCGTTGATCACCACGCACTGACGTGCTTCTGGACATACTGGAAGTGCAGATGCACGCACTCGCTTGCATGTAGTCGAAGAGACAGAAACACGATGCTCGGGTGCAGCAGGTGAGGGCGATCTTACATAGATCCATGATGGCATCACAATATGTTGAAGCAGCATGGCAGCGCTTCTAATGTTCAGCACCAAGCCCACAAGACCTAAGCAGAGCCTCGAGACCGTCTACCCACATCTCAAATGCTAAGCACATTACGCACCAACACGACAAACGTTATCCGAAGAGCAGGACCCTTACATGGGCGAATTATTTTGGCATGACGACTTGCTCGATTCTTACCTAGCATTGTCGTCCGTGCTCGTTGGCACTTACGCCAACGAGCACGGACGACAATGCCACCACAGCGAGCAGGTTATAGACAACTCTAAATTAACTACAGCATAAGACAAACTTGAAAAGGACGTGACAATTGCAATTACTTATTAAAAACAAATAGAATGGCCACAAACCAGTGCTACTCTCTGTTGCAATCTCGCTTGGGAACATATCACGACACTCTCTTCCCCCGCCGCTCATACTCGTCCAGGCCCAGGTACTTTAGCTTCTTCAGGTGCTTTAGGGCCTTCAGATGCTTTAGGTGCCGGGTGGTACTGATTGTAAATCTTCTCATAATACGCTATCCTTTCTTCAGTGAAACCTGCGTGTGTCAGTTTCGTCCGGAGTTGTGCCAAATCGTGTTCAGGTTTAAGCCAATAATTCAAGAACTGATCACTCAACATCGCCGCATGATTCTTCATCTCGAAAGTTGAAACCCCTGTAACATCCTGAAACATCTTCGCAACCACAACATTGCTGCCAAACATTTTCTCCAGCAATTCAATTGTTTTCTCGGGGGTTTTATTTCTGCCGACCCAGATCGTGTAATCCAGCCAGACCCACACAAGTGGGCTCTCTAAGAGGGCAGGGCCTTTAGGGAGCCCCAAAAGGTCGTGAATATCTTCCGCAGATCTCTGCATATTGTACCACCGCTGAAAGTGTTTCGTTTCCAGAATTTTTATAATTGACTTAATGTCATCGTTATTTACATTCTGGACTAGACGCTTGACTTCGTCATCTTTGCGCAAGATAGAATTCATGGCGGTAGCCCACCACTTCTTATAGACTTTATAAGCATTCTTGAGTTTTTCCATTGGCACGTTCATCTTCTTGCTTCCTTCGTTAAGCGCGTCGCTTTCTTTCAACAACGGCATGGTTTCGCCTTCTTTGGCCACCGTTACGGGATCGAAATACCCTTTCAATTTGGCAAAAGACTCCGGTATGGCTGCCCTCTCTTCGCCGTTGCCCTCATTGGTCGTTGTCAAGGATTCGGTTGACCTCAGGTATCGGCTCGACCAGCCAGGAGCCGCATTCGGCGTATTAACTGCCGGGAAATAGAGCATCACTTCGTCATCCGACGTTGCTCTTGAAGTCGGTACTAGCATCACAAGAAAAAGTACAATGGCTACTTTCACCTTAGAAGCCATCCTTGCACTGTTGCGCAAATGTTTAAGTGAGGAAAATCGATGACCTACCAAGCCAAAAAAACTTACACTTCATCGAGTACCAGTCTCTATATTTTTTTCTCGTATTCACACTCGACAAATATTCGTGACCAACCATTTAATGCTTGGAAGAAGCAGTCTAGAAAGTTTTTCTTTATCCAGCATCTGTCAGTGGCGTCATCTACTCTATACAGTGTTTGTAACGGGGTTTTACGACCGTTGTAACATCATATTTTTAACTAGAGTGTGTACCCGTTGTTCTGACGGACATGGTTTTATGCTATTATTAATACATATGTAGGGGTGTACCCGTCGTTTCGACCGATAGGTCCACAAATTTGACGCTGATCGTATATTGACTTCGGTAATTGATTATTTCAAAGAAAATGTGTATGAAGGTCAATGTATGCCTGTCGTTTCGAAATTTAGGGTGTTCACCCGTCATTCCGACGGTGCGCAGTAGTATATGTAGGCATCATTTTACATAAAATATCGGGTCGGATAAGGTAAAGTGATGAGTATGAAAGTCAATTTGTACCCGTCGTTCCATGCATTTTCCATTTAGTCATATAGCATGATGTACGGAGTTATTATATAAATTTTGCTATACAAATTCGGTCATGATACCTCATTCTATCGATGGATGTCCGACGAAATTTATTGCTTAACCTCATATAAATTACTAATTGAAAATAACAATGATAAAAATGTGCAAGTTTTATATGGAAATAATGTAGGATATGGAACGATGCATGTAACGGGGTTACACGACGGTTGTAGCGTCTTTCCGAGAGTTTATGTAACGGGGTTACACGACGGTTGTAACGTCTTTCCGAGAGTTTACGCTTAAACTCTCCTTTGTATTGCATATAATGCATTATTATACTTCTCTTTAGAGAGGTATTAAGTATGAGCGTTAAGATACGGTATTCGGTAATACCGTATCTTACCGATTAGGATTCGATAAATCACTAACGCTCCATTAAGTACATCATACACAGATGTTAAGACGATACGTCGTTCAATAGCAAAGTCTGCATATAATAACTACTATTATAGTAATTAATCTAGTGTAGTGTACTTAAAGTAGGACTATTCATAATATCTTAAAGCATAAATAAAATCAGTTCTCCTTTTGAGTTTAAGATCACAAGTCGTTCTGACTTGTTCTCTTGTGCACTTCGTGCGTTGGTTCTCTGAACCCCTAAGCTTCTAGCTTGTTCTTGCACTCTGTGCGTTGGTTCTCTGAACCTTAAGCATATTGCTTGATTGATTAAAAGTCTCTTTCCTAGTTCCTTAGAACAGGGTGACTTTAACGTCGTTTAATTAGTTCCTCAGAACTAAGTGGCTTTTAGCCTTCACTCTATTTAGTTCTCTAGAACTAAGAGGCTTCCAGCCGAAAGTCTTCCTCTGGCTAAAGAGCTGTGCAGCTCCGCTACACTTGGTAGCACTTGTAGTCAATCCTACACCTGAGTCCTTAAGGACTGACCCTCTGTGAGAATGGAGAATCAAAATCACCTCTCTGAGGCACAACGACTCGCCTTAGATAAACTATCTGCGTTCGTCGGGCCTGATCAAATCGAGGCCCTTTTGGCCCAAGGCCCCGAGGTTCTAAATGCTCGTCTTGAGGCCTTTATGCGTTATGAGGCAACGCTCCTCGGGCAGGTCCATGACCAGGCAGCGTCAGCCGCGCCTATACAGTACATTCCGGTACCTGTGACCGATGCAGAGCCAAAGGCTCGTCCACTTGTTTTAAATGTAAAGACCTTCGAGGGGAAGGAGGGAGAGAACCTTCTCCTCTGGATCCGAGAAGTTGAAATGGCAATGGATGCCGCCATGCTTGCATCCGATAAGCAACGAGTTGGCTTGGCCATTTCTAAGCTCGGTGGAAGAGCTAGAGAGTGGGCTCTAACGAGCGGTGTCTCTGTAAATGCTGCATTTCCCACATGGGAGATGCTTAAAAAGCAATTAACTTGTGTGTTTGCACCGCCTAATCAGGCTTATCGTGTGCGCTCACGCTTCCTAGCTACCCGACAGGGTAAGAAAGAATTGTCGGACTATGTCCAAGAGTTGAGAACTCTCATTGCTGCTATGCAGCAGGACCCACTGGCAGAGGAAGTCCGAGTAACCATTTTTATGGAGGGACTTCGCACTGGGGTCGCCAGGACGGAAGTTTTCCGTGTCCAGCCTTCAACTTTTGAGGAGGCAGTAAGCGTAGCATTTAACGCTGAATTCAATTTTAAATCTGCTCGATATGGTCTGCCCTGGTATCAATCAAATACCTCTAATAGGGCGGAACCCATGGACCTCAGCCATGCTGAAGAAGCTGAGCTTCAAGCTGCTGAGCAGCAAGGTAGCATCCGTAGATGTTACATGTGCGGAAGCACTAGGCATCTCCGCCCTAGCTGTCCGTTGCGAAAGCAACGTTCAAATCGGCAAAGCCAAAGCCCTGCTCCTAGCCAAAAGGCGAGCACCGCAGGGGAAAATGTCGACTCCCAGTAGGCGCGGGGCGCCCTACTGGGAAAGAACTAAGTTCTGTTGAATCTTTAGGAGGTAAAGGTAAACAGGGCTTAGCCCCAGGTGGTTCTGTGGATGCTCCCATAGAACAAAATTACAAGCCAGGCTTGTTGGTTGTGTCGGCAACCGTTAAGGGTTTTGAGAAACCCTGGTCAATTTTAATTGACTCAGGGGCGTCAGGGAATTATGTCCGACGTCGCTCCCTTGAGGGGAGTCAGCTGTATGCTGAGGCGCTGGAAGCGCAAGAGGGTGACAGTATAACCGTACGTCTCGCGACTGGTGTACGTGTCACCGTTCCTAAAGTTCCGTTGAACTTAGGTGTGAAATTCTTAGACTTCAATAGCGTTGAACGCTGTCTTGTCCTAGATTTGGACTCGAGATATGATCTCATTCTCGGTATGGCCTGGCTGGAACGCCATGAGCCGTGGATCGATTGGAGATCCAAAACTTTAGGCGCAACGCGCAATGTTCCTAGCGAAGCTTTGGAGAGTCATGAACCCACCTTCGCTAGAAAACAAAAGTGCTATTGGCGCGAGCCATTAACTGATTCAGTTAGTGTGCTGGACATTGGAGTGTCTGAGTTGATAAACTCCGATGTCAACAATAATAGTGTCGAGCAGAGCTCAATGACACTTAGTGGAACGGCACGTACTCCGTTAAGTGATACTCATAGTAATATTGGCTGTAAATGCGATTCACTGGATGTCGGTAATGACATCGGCTCTCGTATAGAGCGAGTGAAGGTCAATGACCTTGTTAGTGAAGTCACTGGTACTAGTGACCCACTGGATGTCGGTAATGACATCGGCTCTGTATAGAGCAAGTGAAGGTCGATGACCTTGTTAGTGATATTGGCTGTAAATGCTATTCACTGGATGTCGATAATGACATCGGCTCTCGTATAGAGCAAGTGAAGGTCAATGACCTTGTTAGTGAAGTCACTGGTACTAGTGACCCATTGGGTGTCGGTAATGACATCGGCCCTTACATAGGGCAGGTAAACGACAAGGGGTCTGTTGACCTTGGGGATGATAACATCCCAAGTACTTTGAAGAGTACGGTCTCGTCAAGGAGACGGCAGCGTCGCCAGATGGCGGCTGCGAGACGCAAAGCGTCTGTTTTATCGCATAGTAATGTCAATGACCAGTTGTACACCCTGGTCAACGGAGTGACAGGTGATGTAGATGGTGAGGTTGACCTTGAGGCCCTCCCATCATTAAATGCTCTTTTAGAGCTAGGCGAAATGTCTGTGGATGAATTTCATCAGGCCTTGAAGGCAGGTGCTCTGTCCGATATGGTGGTCATTCGACCTAACCTCGAGCTGAACTCATCCTCGCTTGTCGATGAGACAGTCCTTGAAGATACCAAAGCGGCACTAAGTGCACGTAGTGGGGCATCTATTCTGAAAGAACCCTTCAGATCCCTACTATCCTTTGGTAAAGGAATTCCAGGACGTGGTGTGTCACGATCCACCGTCGGTTCTACCACCTGATAGGGGCGTACGTCATGAAATTGACTTGGTTCCCGGAACCAAATACTGTGTAACACGGCAGTGGCCTTTACCCAAAGAACAGTGTGACGTCATTGACGAGTTCTTTCGTGCAAAGCACGCGGCGGGCATGGTGCGTGAGAGTAAATCCCCGCACTCGACACCCACTTTCTGTGTTAAGAAACCAAATGGTAAATGGCGTATCGTTCATGCTTATAATAAGCTCAATGCGGCCACTATACCTGCACAGACACCGATACCTAGAAAGGATGTTCTTCAGAACAATATGGTCGGTTGTACCATGTACAGTGCGCTCGACTTAGTCGATGGTTATTACCAATTGCTCATGCGAGCTAGTGATATTCCGCTTACTGCTGTTAGTACTCCGAGCGGTATGCTCTGGGAGTGGTTAGTGATGCCCCAAGGGCTATCTAATGCTCCGGCTACGTTTAACCGGTTGGTGACGCAATTGTTTCGACCCCATCGAAGTTATGCACAGACGTATTTTGATGACATTTTTGTCCATAGCCGAGCTGAACATGGGCGGTCAGATATTGAGAACCATATTGTTCATTTACGAGCAGTGCTCGAGTGCATGCGCACTAATAAATTATATGCTAATGCATCTAAGTGCATCTTCGGGGCCGAAGAGATTCCCTTTCTAGGGTGCTTCATTGGGAAGCGGGGCCTACGAGCGGATCCCGCCAAAGTCAAAGCCATAGTCGATTGGCCTGTTCCACAATCTCAGAAGGACTTGCGTAAATGGCTTGGCCTTGCCAATTACTTACACAAGTATAGCGAAAATTACGCTGATATGGCTCGGCCGTTATCCAATCTCCTTAAAAAGGATGTGGAATGGTGTTGGCATGCCGAACACGAAAATGCTTTTCAAGCAGTGAAGGCAAGCCTTCTACATGCTCCTATTTTGGCTTTGCCAGACCCTGACCGACCGTTTAGCGTCGTCTGTGACGCATCG